ATGCCTCTATTTGGTTTGGGCTATAGGAGGATTCTGGCCTATTCAGATTTTATCCTATTCACATCTCCCCTTCTAAAGTATCTTTTAAAAAGCAAATGAGGTGTTCGCTTTGACAGAGTAGTGGAAAGGGCCCTTTGGGCATGCATAACCCAGTATAACCGGCATCAGTTTTGCATGCAGATCTAAATTAATCTGTGATCAGGAAGGGACAAGCGTGCAGTGATCTCAGGGTAGCTGCATTCTGGAGGTGGCTGTTATGGTGCCTCTCATTAGGTGTTGGGTAAGCAGGTAATAATAAACTCATTGCTTTTAGCAAATGGCTGAGAGAAAGGTGGACAGATGTCACCTACACAGGTGTAACATATCAGTGGAGCTCTTCCTTATTCTTTTAGGGGTAATTCTCTACCAGATTACTCTGGTTTAATGACTTTTTACACCTGTGCAGACCCTTACAGTAGATGACAAACAGACACTCAGTCTTTCCACAACCACTTGTCCAGCAGCACTCCCTGCCAAGATTTGAAACTGTGGTATAACAGTGCAGGTACACACTGAGGCATTGTCCAGGGACACATCGGGCAGGAGAAGAGCGTGAGTCAGGCTCCAGGTAGAAATTTCCAGGTGAGTTGGTGCCAAAAGACATGAGATATGGAGAATGGTAGTAGAACAAGTTGCCACAATCCGGTTTGGAGATAAGCAGGCTTAGACCAGCTTGTGCCCTGCAGCCTCAGGACGTGACGATGTCTTGATAAAGAGTCCAGGAGAAGTCCAACCTTCTGCCCCTGCTTCACTTCCCTAGGATCTTCATCTTGGTCGCGTCTCCAATCCAACCTTTCTGTATGGTCTGTTCCCAATGAGTATGTCTACACATGCATTTGGACGTACCTAAATTTAATGCGCATTAGCTTAATGTGCGTTAAGGCAATTTAGGCTTGCATCTACATGTGCATGCGGTAAAGTGTATTAACGCCGTGTGCGTGGACTGACTGACATGGGACTAAAGTTAGTCCCAAGTCAATCCATACACAGCATTGATGCACCTTAATGTGTCTACATATGCATTAAAGCGCTTTAGTTATTCATGCCTAAATTTTGATACCTGCAAAAGCAGGTATCAAATTTAGGCATGAATAGCCTAAAATAGCCATTTTCGAGGCGCATTACGTGCCCACATGTGTAGATGTGTGCCCTGAATGTGCCTGAAATCAGGATAAAGTGCCTTAAATCGTCATGTGTAGACACACCCAATATTCTGCATGGGTCACTGCTTCTTGTGGGGTGCACGGTGGTGCTACAGGGCATCTTAGGAGATGATCCGTGGTTTGCTTCTCCTGACAAACACATGGGTCGGTTGCAGAGAGTCCCCGTGATTGCATGAGAAAGTTGCATGAGGATGGTAGAGAAAGGAAGAGGAGGCTTTCACTATTCTTAGGAGTGCAGTGTTTCACTCGCACTTGGTTTGTCCCTGGTGTCCCACAGAGTACTAACGAAGGAGAGGCTGGTACAGATTCAGCTTGATTATGCAGGCGGGTGCATTTTAGAGGGAGGGAGAAGGTGGGTTTGAGCTACTTGAAAAGCTGCCCGTTTCTTTGAAAGCCTAGTGCCCAGATCCACCGCTAACGTACACCAACACCAATCCATTGAGTTCAAAAGAGCGGAGGCTGTCAGCCGTAGAGTCTGGTGTTGCTTTTGTGCCAATGACATGTTTTAGACTGACCTAGCCGGTCGAGTTTTTCAATTACAAATTCTGCTCTCAAGGCGGAAAGAGTCTGAAGTACTGTATATACCGAAGGACAGGGATGTGACGCTTCTTCCTCAAGTTAAAGAGGCACCGTACTCTTTCTAATAAAAGAACATTCACCCCTGCATGAATTTCCAGGAACATTACCTGAAAGTTTTCAGTCCTTCTAAGCCCAGTCATGTTTTTTGTGGAAGAATACTGTGAAAAGACAGGCAGTGCCAGAGGTCCCTGATTTGCACTGTTGGAGTGCGGAGAGGTATATTAAGTGCCGACTTAAAGCTGGAAAGGGGCAGTTGTGGGAGGGGAGGAAGGTTCCTGCTTTCAGGTTTCATTTAAGGAGAAACTGCAATCAGTGTCATTGCTATGGAATCAGGATCCGGTTCTGATTTTGTCTACACTGGTGTTATCTGTACAACTCTCCGTTAAGTCAAACATAGGGCTAAGCCTTGCGCCAGAATCCAGTAACTTAGACCACTTTGTAGTCTCCTTAGTAGATAATAGAATTGGGCTTTAAGTATTTTAGGTATATTCTACATGTCAAATAAATTTCAAGGTGATGTCACCCTTTCATTACCTCTGTAACTGTGAATTGTGTGTCTGATGTTTTTGCTGACAGCTGCCAATCAGGGCTGGGTGAAATTTTCATGACTGAACTGGGAAATCTTCAAAATTTTGCTACTTGTTTTGAGTTTCACGAAATTAAAATGATTTGGCGGGAGAGAGAGGTGGCTTCAAAATGTATTGTCACCAAAACAGCCCCCTTTCAAGCAAAAAAAATCTAGGTATATTAGAAATCTTAAAAACTTGAGTTTTAAAAAAGCTTGGAAAAGATCAGTTTGGGGCATCAACATGAAGGAATTTTCTAAATGTCTGTGCTACCTACACAAAACCTGCTCTCTGCTGAAATCAGGGAAACCTTTCAGCATTTTTAGAGGAAAAATAAATCAAACATCAATTGCAAATGACTTCCCCAGCAGTGCGTTGGTGTCAAAGAGGACGCGGGTGAGGCAGCTGAGTAACACATGGGTAACGAGGAGACTTTCAAGACCGCTGCAAATCAAATTGTTGGGGTTTTTTTTTAAATTAATATAATTTGCTTTAACTGTGAAAGTCTCCAGATACCTTTGGGTGGAATCTTCTCTCTCAGTATTTATTATTTATTCATCTTTGGCTGCAGAGCCGACCCTAGGAGGGTGCGGGGCCTGGGGCAAATCAGCCTGTGTGTGGACTATGGGATTGCCACAAAGGCAGGGCACGGCAGTGCCGTAGCAATGAGATTTGGTGCCCGGGGCCAAGCAGTGGGCACGAAGCCGGCAGCGTGTGGTGGTGGTGGTGGTGGGGGGGTTGATGAGCAGCTGGATGGGAGGGCCCGCGGCTGCTCCACCCGGCTCCGCAGGACCCCCCAAAACGTGGGGGCCAGGGTGGTCGTCCCGATTCACCCTACCCAAGGGACGGCTCTGTCTGGCCTTACCTAAAACATTCTTAGGGAAGCCTCTGTCTCTGACCCCCTGAATGTAACCTGAGTCTTTCTCTGTTCTCCTCTGACTTCGGAGGTGGCAATTGACTTCTGTTGGCTTTGTATTAAATTATACCGATTTGTAATTTGCTTTAGTAACCCATTCTGCTCTGTGATTAGATGTGGGGATAAGCCTTTTTTAAACATATTGCAGTTTCCCTTTAACTATCTTGGAGGCTTCTAAATGATTTTTTTTTCCATCCAAAATAATGGTTTTGAGTGAGGAAGAGTTCCAGGTTGGTTGTAATAACTTCAAGAATGGATGCGCTGTCTTCTCGGTTCAGGGGAATCGGTCAGTCCTGTCGCTATCACAGTGTTATTAACCAGAAGTGCCACCGGCGATTGCAAGGGAAAAAAAATCCCTACTTTTTTTTTCTTTTTAAATGCCTGTAATTCTCCACCTGAACAATAAAATATGTGATTTGTGATGAATTAAAGGAGTTTGTTTGTCTGAGTCTTTGCTTGACTTGGTTGTTTCAAGCCCTTATATAGGAAATGTGCATAGATTATTTCAGCTTTTTAAGAGTTGGGCCAGTGAGAGATCCAGTGGATGTCAAAGAACCTGGTTGTTTGGAAATCAAGTGGTAGCCTAAGCTACCCATGGATGGTAAGGACCAAACCATGCCTTTTGATGTGCGTGCCGCGGTTCCCATGCACGTTGCCAGCGAGCACAGGCAGGAAACCAGCCACCACCGGGCATCTCTTTCACACTGGTCGTTGTCCTGCTTTGTGAAAAGGATCTGGTGTTAGAACAAGGTCCCAGTAGGTAGCTTTGATTTGAGAGATGTTGGATGACGTTGCTAAGACTTGAGTCTACAAAACTTTCCAGGAACTGAGCCACGGCCACAGACTGTTTCAGCAGCAAGTCTGCCTGAGGGCACGTATTTCAAGATCAAACCCATACACACACCCTTGTATTTCTCATGCATTATACAAGACAAGTGTAGCCTCGTGGGAGGATTAAATGTTAAATGGT